TCACTTTTCGTGTGACAAATTCCGAATTTGAATCAGAATCGAGTCAACGCAGCTCCACAAACGTAGGTTTGATTCCTGTTGGCTATTAGTGAATAAGATGAACCGCTTATATACCATCGTCTCTGTCACAAACTTATATAACCATAATTTAAACCGTCATGACAGTCAACATAGGTATCATATTGGAGCAGTGAAGTACATTTTGTGGTGAAAGCAATTTGATCCACAGCCTCTGGTTTCGTTGTGTTCAAACCTATATTCAAAACCTGAGACTGCTCTCGAAATTGCTGCACACTGCTGACAGGCTGTTTTTTAAATTATTCACCCATCATTCTCCTGGAACCTATACAGCTTGTCTCAATATCATCACATATGTTATTTTAGAGCTCTGATTCTCGTTCTGAACAAGAATTGGATTCTGATCGTCAGTATTATCTAGGCACGGGATATTCTAGTGCCCCGCTGCAGCCGTCCACATATCCAACCTACCTGAAGCGATTCCAAGTGAAAGTTCTAGATTTTGATGTAAGTCATACTAATAGCTGTGGTTATACCCAATCCTTTGTTTCATGTGCTCCAGAAGCAACATAAACATGATATTTTTTCTTGTATTAAGCCTTGATTAATGTTGCACATGTCAGTCTTGTTTGAACACTCATCATGCTGTCTTGGCGGAATACTCTGGTCTATCCACAGCAAATTTAACAAATCCCGCAACCAGCCATGGCTCGTCTAAATTTTGCTGATTCGATAGGCTTCTAAGGTGGTCATTCGCAGTTTTACGCAAAAAACTAAGGACATTATATTGAACAGCTTAGTGTGCACATGGACTGCTTCAACTTAGACTGTATTTCCAGCTTCCGTTATTTGTCTACGGCATTAAGCCAGTCCTTAGTGGCGAATCACTGGCAGCAAAGCGGCATATTGAATTGCTTCTTTTCGATTGAGGGACGCCCCTCTCTACATATGCATCTCGTGCTGGTTGACTCATGGTTGACTCAATTTAAATAGAGCATAACTTACAAGAGACCCACGTTAGTTTCCTGGAGCTTTTTTGTCATTCCAATCCGGAACGTTGATAACATAACAACCATACCATTAGTTTTAGTCGCTTCCTTAAACGCAGTATTAGATGGCAAACACTTCTTAACTATGTTGTAAACCCTCAACAAAACCTGGAGCTTTTTTGTCATTCCAATCCGGAACGTTGGTGGAATAACAACCATACCATTAGTTTTAGTCGCTTCCTTAAACGCAGTATTAGATGGGAAACACTTCTTAACTATGTTGTAAACCGAAGCCTAAAAAAAATAATTAAAACCGTTTATCCCCTTCAGGTGCTTGGAATGGACGGAGATGGATTCCTCAAGCCAAACGAAGATATCAGTATAACCGATATTCAGTTAATAAATCAGAGTTCTATGCCACTACCCTCTGGTGCGCGTTTGTCATTCTCCTCAACCGATACTGTGTTCATGTTCACAGACCAGTCTGTGCAGCTGACAGCGGTATGTTCTGTGGGACGCCGATAATTTTCATTGTTTTGTTAATAAAACTTCTGAACTCTTTTGGACTAAACTCAGGAACCTCACTAGGTAATAGCATTTCTGATAAGGAGTTTCATCGAAATTCTAAATTCCCGCTGGTTACACGTGAAATAAAATCAACTATGTACTTCGCTTTGATACGGAGTGTGGCTGTGCTTTTGTTAGGTTACGCATTTTAGTGTGGTGTAAACAGTCAGGGATCGTCCCTAAACGAATGTAAAGCTTAAACTCCACAATTACCTACCACAACGAGACCTGATACATCATAATGAGTAACTGCAAAGTATTTTGATGTCAACTGAATGCAGTTGTCTCAACTCAAAAACACCTTTCATTGGGAAGATACCTAGCGTATATCGGATAATATAACCCAAATTTTGACAGCCGATGAGAAGGGTCATTTCGCAGCTCTGCGCAAATTTTTCTAGCCCATAAACTCATGAATTGTGTCTAACCTAGTGATATGTTCCTAAACTATGTCTCTGAAAACCCATGTGTGTATAAGCCATGCAATTTACTCCCAGCTTGCGCTGAAAGCTGAAAAATAATTTCGGGCTTTGAAATTCTCCTCATTTGTTCAGGAACCAACTCAACTTTGTTAATGAATTGTATTTTCAGCATTGTGCTCTATTTCAAGTGTGTGGTTATTGCTGAATCAAGTTTCCTTTACATCAACAGTTATATAAATACCTTACTTATCCTCCCAAGTGTGTTTTCTACACCATTATGAGAGTCTTACTAAAGATTTCCCTATGATAATTGCGTATAAAATTGTATGCAAACAGCGCCAATCAGATGACTTATCATCGTGTTGTATGCACGCTTGCGCTTTTCACTCCTTACACTGTCCACGAGATTCTCAGCCACAAGTTTGACCCTTCGGAAAAGTGCTCGACGATGACTTAGATCGGCTAAGGTGCAGAGCTAGCATACGGCAATCGATAAGTGTTTGAGTAAATACTGCTGTAGAATGCGGTAAGCAGTTGGTGGTCCGAAGAACCGACAACCCTTTAATGTATCGCAAGATATGGCACTAAAATATGTGGCATCACTGCAATATGATTGCCCCAGAATGAGCAGCATTCACCATATGGATTTATTACGTAGTCATTGAGGAACTGCAAGATGCATTTGTGCACCTGCTTGTTGCTAGTAAACAAAGCAATGACGAATGTGGTTCTAACTCATGACTTACGTGTTATTCATCACCCTAATCCGGGACATTCTGAGTATCTACTGACAAATTCCATGGAAAGTGTTTGCAGTGACCAAAGAGCCATGGCTAGCGGACCGACTCAGTAATAATGGCAAATTTGTCCGAATTTTGGATAGGCTGTAGCTAACATCAAATCAATGACCAACACAATGCTAGACAGAAGGTATATCAGCTTAGGACTCTTTTGGTGAAACAAACGGGATTGTTTATGCATTATCCGAAGACCACTTATATGAACTTATTCATACTGTAAGATATCTGCCGAGGTCTTCCGTCACTGTGGTCCTCAATCTGCTTACCATTTACTCTAGCTTGCACCGAACGAGCAGGTCACACTGAAAGAAACGTTTTGTGGTCGCATTCAGCTTGAAGATTCACCGCAGAAGCCCGGGGAGTTCAACGGATTGGCATCCATTGTGGCTTGTGTCAGCTTGTGTGGAATAAAATTTACCCAGGTGTGAATCAAACTTTTATCCAACTTTGAAAATCCGTATTGAGTATTCCCCCGTTATCGTCAGCTGTCATATCTGATTGAATAATTTGACCTTAAGCGTGGCGGAATTGATACTGGTTTCTATCATCGCATACTCCTGTTCGCTTCTGTAACCTTCCCTCCTGTGGATGTGCTCAGACAGCTTGTGCACTATAGCTGTTGTTGTGTTGTTGCTATAGCAAACTTTAAAGCTTAGCGTTGATTCAGAAACGTAGGGCTCTGACGACGGTATTTTTCGCTCTTTGAGGGTTCAGATATTGCTCTTGGAGAAAATTGCTTCTTGACGGCCAAAATTCACAAACGCACGCTATTTTTAGCTCCTGGTTTTTTATGTGGCCAGTACTCTGTTTCACCCAAGCCATTTTCACGAGAGATAAATACACAGAGTAGCGTACGCTCTCCATTAACAAGCAGGATGAAAGCTTCAGTCCTGTGGGTTCCGAAGGGCTTGGTTGTTACCAATGTGTCAATCGAAACGAAGTTTTCAAGAGTTGGATCAAGTTAACCTTCTCTTATTTTTGTGACTGTTGTCTTAACTGATGAAAACAGCCACTCCGTCGAATTGAATGGGAAGCAAAATGACGGAGGCTATGTGACACCCGATACGGCACAACCAACTGCAAGCTGTTAAGGAACAAAAGCATGGCGTACAAACTGTCGGTTGGATAAGCAGACTAACATTTCAACATGATCAACATTCGTTGCACGATAATCTGTTGATTGTTATCTTCACCATATTCCCTGTGGGGCGACGTTATGGGACATTTTTCTGCCTGTTGCCAGATATCCAAAGCTTATCAGCTGACTGTTGGTGATGACGTAGACAGGCTTCCGTTGAAAGGTAAACGTTTAGGGGACGAGGAATCGTTTAAATCTGTAAGTGTTTTCGTCGGTCTGCATTTTGTGGCCTGAAATTATGCTTGTGCCCAATCCATGTTCAGCGTGTGATATCCCGTAGACGGTTTCCAGCAGAAATACGGATAAGATTTGTCAAACACACGCAGAAGAATGATAGAAGACTGATTTATCGAGGGTCGATAAGTATTCACCATGTGTTATTTCAAGAAAGCCCGTCAGTTGAAACCACAAAAGTGATTTACGTGAAAACTTTGAATGAACCTTGAAAATGGGAGAATTGATGGGTCAGAAAGCCTTGTGACTGATGTATTGAAGACTGATAAACTAGCGGTTGGTGAATGAACGGCCAACAAACTTGGGTTCGCTGAATCGGTGTTTTTTCGGTGGGATGCTAATTTTGGCTGGTAGAACGCAAACAGACCGAATCCGTCTTTCAGGGCCATTATCCCGGATTTCGTTACACATTCCGTATCCCTGACAAAACCAAAACTGGAAATGTCAATTAAAAGTTCTCGGTGGGTGAACTGCGGGGGGAAGGCGACGTTCCTTCCTTCAGTAAATTTTCTTCAAGGTATGGTCCTTCACCTTGCTGAGTGACTTTTCTCCTTCAAGCCTGGTAATTTGGGTTCCATAGCGGAGCTTATATTGATGCGGCTCGATAAGTTACTGGTTTCAGGAACTTGTAGAAATCACAGATATTTTGTTTTGTCCGAACCTAAACTAGTAAGGAAGCTTATTCATCTACCCTCACACCCATTGCCACTTAGGGATGTCATGAAAAGAAAATTCCTGTTCGATATCCCCTGAGACTCTGCTCAGTTTCCTCACCAAAGACAACCGCCTTTCGGGAAGAATTTCAAATTTCCTTCAATGTAAGTCCAGTTTTTATATTTTTATGTGTACCGGTGATAATTTTCAAACGCTTGCCCTGACAAGCTTTGAATGATTCGCTCTCATTGGTAGTGTGGGAAGATTTGGGAATCTTTGGCATCGACTGGGTTCACTTACAGAAGGAAATCTTAAATGAATATTTGTCCTGGGTTTATACAACCTTAGCCTCAACAGGCGCAGCTTCCTCTCGCCTTCATTGAGGATCCTTCGAGAAAAGTTTTGGGTGCGTCTGTTTTCTCCAAATGAACTATCACAGTGCATGACTATGGAACGTTTCCTTAGACTTATTATCGAACCACGAGAGGTGTTGAACTTCCATTTAAATAGTTAATTTTTACGTTTCATCTCAACTTGCCCACAGGGTGTGTCCAAATAGTTTAAGGTTGTCCGCTTAAATGAGGAATTCATCCAAACTGACATCAGAACTCCTTGGAAAAAGCCATGTTATGGTCGTGTGAAGTGTTAGATAAGATCAAATGAAATTGGACGCCGCTGTAGTCGCGGCTGTATATATTGGTATCCATTGTCTCATTTAGTATAGAACCTGATTTCCTCTCGCCATTTCGTTCACCCCTGTCCCTCTGATTAGTAACACTGCATTATCAAGGGCAACATTGATAAGAGGTGCCTCCTAATTCACTTTAACAACCCAAATAAAGAATATCATTTGGGGCTATTTCTGCTAGTTGCGGAAACTTGTCGGTCACCCATAATGTTGTGCTTTCCGTGTATCAAATCATTAAAATGTATTCTTATTCGTAAGCCTTAGTTTTTCAGACTCAGCAAATCATAAAATGTAATCTCATCATGCTGGCCTTGTTCACCTTTTTGTGGATTCTCAGCCCCGCTAATTCATCCTTAATCATCTGCAACAAACAGCATTCTGCTTCTTTCTAATTATAGATCGAAAATTTGTCTAGAAAACCCTTCTATGGCTCTGATATGTCAGATGTTGACGAGAGTAACAGGGTAGACATTGTTCTACGAGTATGTCGAGAAATGCGAGTAGTTCGGTCGAGCTCCGGGGATTCGAACACCATGAAATTGATATCACTTTCAGAGCAAATCTTCGGTCGATCGTTCAACTCCCCTCCTCAAGTGGACATTCATGACTCTGCGAATTTGAATTTTGGTGTCATTCCCGAGGCCACTTTTTTCGATAATGGAACAAGCATACCTGGCAGGCTGGAGGTAACCGTCTGTTGTGAAGTTGAAAAGAATGTAGGAGTATTCACTAAACTTCCATTTCAACTTGAGTTATATCTGGTGAGTTTAATACTATCGGAATCTTTAACTGTTTATTAAAATAGGTTCAGTAGAAAGCAAAGTCCTAGGTTCAGTGGATCCTAACCTTTTTCAGGTCCTCTTCCGTCCCTTCCTATTTTGTGGTGAAAAAGTTTCCACGCTTGACATATACCTTATAAGTATGAAACATTTACAAGAAAGAGATCCCTAAAATGGGTTAACAGACACTTAATTGAGATAAAGCATCATTTGGTTTGCCCGTTTTGGTCCGTTTTGTTGAGTCACCCCATAATTTTAATTTTAGTATACTAGCGAGACAAAATAAATACCGTTCGGAAACTTGCTACAAGCATTATTAAATATCTTGTAATTTGTTCCCTGAAGAAAGCGTAACCTGGAGACCGACTAAATTCGAGCTTTTTTTGAAAGTACACTATGTTTTGAAGCATTTTAGTTCTCAGTGTGACGTAACTGGTTTGCTTGAAACAAAGCGTGATATCAGAAAACTGCAGACACATAATATTTCTACATCAGCAGTTTAACAAGCAGCGAGTGTTTCGGGTAATTTTTGTCTCTGATGGAATGTTCGATAATCCAATAAAGATTGATGTATGCAATTGATCTGAGTTTCTCCTTGACTAAAATTTACTTCTAGTGTCGGCCCACGTTTGGGTGGAGTCAATTTAAGGGGTCCTTGTTTCATTGTTAAAGTAGATGCCGATTGTTTTTACGATGATGCGTACCTAGATTTCACAAGTTGTAAGTCTGCCGGTCATAATTCTATTTACCTTTTCATTACTTTGAAAAATACAACCAAGAACAACAAGGTACTACGGCTGTACTCGTCACTTGAGATATAATGGATCAGCGGAGCCATCATTCGACACCATAAAGTTTGGATGTATTCCACGGATACAAACACAATCGACGGTAATCATCAGCCAGGACGATAAGGATTGATGTTTTTGTAACCGGGCTAAATTACTACAATCTATAAGTACAACGGTGAGACCTGTTTTGGTGGAACTCCTGCGACCGGTGACATGTCTGTTGTCTCATTCTCAGAGCAGTCGAAATCCGTAATTATTCAATAGAAGTTGTTTTACAAAAAGTTAAGTTTCTTACATTTTGATTCTTAAGGTAACACTCACACGTATTGTCAGGATGCCGGCTAATGGCCTACATACAGAATGAGGCCTCAAATGTAACCGCTTTTATTCCTAACTTTAAAGCTTATCGCTAAACTTGCCATCAGTTACCACCTGCGAAGATCTAGCTACTCACAAATGCTCCGACGTTAAGCGATTCCTAGTCGCTTTGGAGCGCGGGAACGATCACTGTAAATTGGAGGAATGATCCAAATTGATTGCTGCAAAATGTTTTTAGGCTGTTGTTGTATACCATGTAGAAATACTGTGTTTCAATTGGTCGTACGTTTAACAGAATCCTTTTTGATGATTCTTCAGTGTATCTGAATCTGCTATTCCATCTATGTGAAGAAAATGCTAATTTGTTCGTTTGCCCCATCGTAGCATAATTGATATAAAGCAAATCATAGAGCTGTTAACTGGTTTGTTAGTCGCACTTAGCAATTGCAGCACCCTCTTTCTAATCATNCATCGTAGCATAATTGATATAAAGCAAATCATAGAGCTGTTAACTGGTTTGTTAGTCGCACTTGCAACACCCTCTTTCTAATCATATTCATCCGAATTCAAGTTACTTTGCACCATAACAAGGTGATGGACTGTCTATTGCTTAACTTGGTTTCCTTCTACATTATAATTAGTATTTCCCAGAAAGTTTAGCTGAAACAAATATATTCTCCTTCTCACGAACTTTGGATACAGGCGGGAAAATTGATACAATACGAACAAGGATGCATTCGCTGTGTGCACCGGTCCACGAAAGCGGGAACCGCTTTTCCTACGATGTTCCGTTTCTTGCAGTCTAAGTCGGAAACAAGCCGGCTTAATCAAATGGGAAAACATACTGTTCATCATCCACCTGAATCCGTCTCATCCAACACTGCTGTCCTCATAATTGATGAAGCAATGTCGGAAAAAGAATTTGCCGTTTGGCACAGCTTGTTGCGCTCCGTGGGATTGGGTAATTTCCAGATATGGGACTCAGAGGAAAATCAATCAACACCTGTGAGTTTTTGTTTCAAATTACGAATCAGTATGCAGTTTAGGCGCTGCCAGAGTTATTTGTAAACAACATGAAGGTGCTTAGTTTTATCCATGCTCACAATGCTGCTGTAAGTATAACCTAGTTGGTTGCTACCAGGTTAAACGAGGAACATCACAAATTTAGTCACGGACGCTCTTAAAAATGAACGAGAACTGAACCTTTAGGGTGTTCGTTGTTAGGGCCCTTCACCGTATTTTAAACGCAATCTACGGAACTCCCCAGAGTTACTAAATGACAGGTCTTACTCTGGTCGCTTGTTTGTTCGCTGAGCTGAGCATTTTGATTGCAAACGTTTCATCACCAATCGAGGTGATATCATCTTGGGGTGCTTAGTGAAGCGCAGCGATGGGTCGGTGGCTGTGTAATGTTATATGAGTAGTACTGTGCGTTTGTGTGTGTGTTAGTATACATGCCGTTAGCCGGGGCTGACCTTCGATCACGATTAGTCGTTCGGTCGGTCGGTTCCGTTGGTTGTTCTGTTATCCTGTGTCCCGATTGATCGACAACCACGTGACCTTTGAGCCTGGCCTCCTCTGCTCTCGTGCCCTGATCGATTCTGGGGTGACCTCTGTCGTTGCCCCTCTAGGTTCCGGCATGTGACCTTTGTTGATAGGATTCCACGGGCTACTTGCTTCTCGATTTATGAATCCGATATCTGGCTCTTTTTGAGTATTTGGGTGGAGGAGTTGATCCTTTGCATGTAGTGGCGCGTAAATTGGGTGCAGTTCAATGCATCGGTTGATCGAATCAGCCGTTTAGAACCATGTTTCCGGAAATTCTCTTGTCTCGGGTCTCAGTGTGCCAAAATTTTCACGTTTCCAGATTTAATTCGTGGTCTTGTTGATCACACTGTAACCTGAAAATCGAAATTCCTGTAAGCTTTATTGTATTGCATACTGTTAAACGGTTATACTTACGCTATTTGGTACTGGCAGAGTGGTCTTAAAATTTTACGTTGCAGGAGATTCATACTGTGGCGTTCAATCAAAAAAATGCACGAAGGCCTTTCACTGCCAGTATCCCCATGAAAATAATCTGCACTCCCTTGGCTGGATTTGATACTATTACCTCGAATAACTGGTACTTTCAAATACTGGGTCTTGCAGGGCATCTCAACAAGTGCGTCATATGCTTCACTAACCCATATTGATCTGTGGTCCCTTATCACTACCACCTTGCTAAAGTATTCTAATATAGTTCATACTGCGCAGAAGATACAAAACCATGTGGATCATAAGGTAAAGTGCATTTCTTACTCACCAATTTCTGAGGACATAATCAATCCTTTTTGAGTAATATTACGCTCAGCTGCCTAGATGTCTTGCCTAGGTCTACTGCTGAAATGACCAGATGAAGCCTTAGTTCCCCAACTGACGATCTACCAACTGAAACGAGGATCTTTCACAATCACGGTTGTCTTTCGTGAAAACTTTCACTGAACTATGCATAGCCGTGTTCTCAACCTCTGATATATATATATA